GCGGCGGAGCTGGAGGAGAAAGAGAAGGCGGCGGAGGAGAAGAAGGGGGCGGCGGAGGGGGCCAAGGACGGTGAGAGCGGGAAGGAGGGGGAGAAAAAGAACGGGAAGTACGAGAAGCCGCCGTTCAGCTACAATGCGCTCATCATGATGGCCATCCGGCAGAGCCCCGAGAAACGCCTCACTCTCAACGGCATCTACGAGTTTATAATGAAGAACTTCCCCTACTACCGGGAGAACAAGCAGGGCTGGCAGAACTCCATCCGCCACAACCTCTCCCTCAATAAGTGCTTCGTCAAGGTGCCCCGCCCCGGCAGAGCCCCGAGAAACGCCTCACTCTCAACGGCATCTACGAGTTTATAATGAAGAACTTCCCCTACTACCGGGAGAACAAGCAGGGCTGGCAGAACTCCATCCGCCACAACCTCTCCCTCAATAAGTGCTTCGTCAAGGTGCCCCGCCACTACGACGACCCGGGCAAAGGGAACTACTGGATGCTGGACCCCTCCAGCGACGACGTCTTCATTGGTGGCACCACCGGCAAGCTCCGCCGGCGCTCCACCACCTCACGGGCCAAGCTGGCCTTCAAGCGGGGCGCCCGGCTCACCTCCACCGGACTGACATTCATGGATAGGGCAGGATCCTTGTACTGGCCTATGTCCCCCTTCCTCTCCCTGCACCACCCCCGGGCCAGCAGCACTTTGAGTTACAATGGAACCACCTCCGCCTACCCCAGCCACCCTATGCCCTACAGCTCAGTGTTGACTCAAAACTCCTTGGGAAACAACCACTCCTTTTCAACGTCTAATGGGTTAAGTGTTGATAGACTAGTCAATGGAGAGATACCTTATGCCACTCATCACCTCACAGCAGCAGCTCTGGCCGCCTCAGTGCCGTGTGGCTTGTCAGTTCCCTGCTCCGGCACCTATTCCCTAAACCCCTGCTCTGTAAACCTCCTAGCAGGACAGACGAGTTACTTTTTCCCCCATGTTCCTCACCCTTCAATGACTTCTCAAAGCAGCACTTCAATGACGGCCAGGGCAGCCTCCTCCTCCACGTCGCCACAGGCGCCCTCCACTCTCCCCTGTGAGTCTTTAAGACCTTCTTTGCCAAGTTTTACAACGGGACTTTCCGGAGGACTTTCTGATTATTTCACACATCAAAATCAGGGGTCTTCTTCAAACCCTTTAATACATTAACATCCATGGGATCAGACTGTAAGTGAACATTTTACACACATTTGCATTGTAAATGATAATTAAAAGAAAGAAAAAAGCAAAACAAAAAAGTCCAGGTATTTTTTATTAAGTCCCCCATTTTCTGTACGTTTGTTCAGTCTTTAGGGTTGTTTATTATTCGACCAAGATGAGGAATGTCAGCAAGGTGCAACGTGGGGAGATTACATTGTAGACTATGAAGTTTGGAAGACAAAATTATAGTAGAATGTGTATCTAAATAGTGACTGCTTTTGCAATTTTTTAATTAAAATACGATAAGTCTATCACTAAAAGCCGCCAGATTCTCCATGTTTGCAGTATTATAAGTTATCATGGATAAGTCTGTGGGTGCAGACCTTGAAAGGAAAAAAAAAAAAAAAAAGCAAACCACTAAAATTATGAAAACTACAAAAACCTTAAAACGTAATTTGTATTTAAGCAGAATTAATGCTGAAAGGTGCCCAAAAAGTACATTTTGGCAATTTATGATTTTATCCTTTTCTTTACTGAACTGTTTTGTTTTGGTTTTTGTTTTTTTTAATTATTATTCCTTCTTTTCTTTTGTTGTTGTTTTGGAGTTTTGTTTTTGTTTCTTTGTTTACTTTTAGACCAAAGATTGGATTTTAGAAAATGCACTCAGTGTACGGAGTAATTTAAAAAACAAAAACATTATTTCAGTTTGCAGCACTGCCCGTTCAAATTAATCAGAAGGGGACAAAATTAATGATTGCCTTCAGTTTGTGTTGTGTATATTTTGATGTATGTGGTCACTAACAGGTCACCTTTATTTTTTTTTTTTTCTAAATGTAGTGAAGTGTTAATACCTATTGTACTTATAGGTAAACCTTGCAAATATGTAACCTGTGTTGCGCAAATGCCGCATAAATTTGAGTGATTGTTAATGTCGTCTTAAAATTTCTTGATTGTGATACTGTGGTCATATGCCCGTGTTTGTCACTTACAAAAATGTTTACTATGAACACACAGAAATAAAAAAAAATAGGCTAAATTCATATATACTTGATAGTTTTTTTGTCTCTTTTATTAACTAAAATTAATGTCCCAGAGGCTTTAAAGTTACAGGGAGGCAAGAGCGTTGCTTATTACAGCAGTCCACCATTTTTCACATTCTTCTTTCTCCCCTCCACCCCCCCGTCCCTCGATCATACTGTCTTTAACAACAGTATTTTCAAATGTAAACGTTGAGGGTATTTAATTAAACACCACGACCACTACTGTGATGTTCGTTTAGGGGCAGAACTCTTATCACGTCTGTTTTAAAAATGGTTAGTAGGAGGTAGGATGACTTATTAAAACCCCTGCCTTACACTGAAGATGCTTAAAATTGTGTACGTGTATGTATATATATATACACACAGATATATATCTACACACACATATATACGTATACATAAATTTAAGTCTATATGCACACGTTGGAATAAAACCAGGATTTTAAAATCTGTTACATAGGTACGTGGTGTTCCTGCAATCTCTGAAATGCATTCAAAGAATTATTCTTCTGAAATAAATTAATTTCGAGTCTACGGTAACTGGAGATTTATTAACTATTAATGTGCATGTGTGTGTGTATACATATACATATTAGCTTTCTTATAATCATTTGCTCAAATTTAGCAAGCTATTATTCATATGTGTATAACGCGCAGTCCTTATCTTAAAGGAACATTGTTCCGGAAGTATCTATACTGTATGTATTTGTATACTTTTAATGCTGCAAACACTTTTGGCTTTAAATCTTGTAAGAATAGCGATAGTTTTTCAGGCGCAGCCTCCCTCCCCTGCCCCCTCGTTCCCCGGCCGAGGAAGGGGCGAGCAGGGGGTGAGGTGCATCCGCAGCCCAGGGCAGGGAGGCAGAGGGCTGGGAGGGTCACGTGACGCCCGGCCT